GTTCAAGAAACTGAAGGACTTGTAGGGTGTTTAGGAGTGCAAGTCGTGTGTTTTTTTTCCAACAATATATCAAAATAATATTTTTTTTTATTTTATTAGCTATCATGATAGGGATTTGATTAGCTAGAATTCTAAAATTTGAAAGCTGCGGTTTTCTTGCCGCTTATAATTTTGATGATGCCCAAGTAGTCCCTGCCTTGACCACTGGCCAGGGTTGCAACCAATATTTTTGGCGGTTCCCCAAGTTTCCACATTGGCAACTTGCATTCATTATTTTGAAGCATTACTGAGATAAACAGGAGGGAAGGAGGAGGAGGAGACACTGTTGTTATCGCGAAAAGTCATGTCGGTTGAATATACGGGAGATTAATTGTTTTTTTTTTATAAAAAAAAAAGGAGGAGGAGGTTTGATCAACGAAGGAATGTTCCACCACAACATTCTAACCATCTTCGAGTTGGGTAAAAAGACATGACTTATTCAAGCATGGAGGAATATTTTTATTATTAATCTCTTGTTAATGAAAGTGATTTTATTGATGCTTTTTTTTTTTTCTTGTAAAATGTATAATTTGCTTTGTCATTGAAATAAGAATTTAATTGTTAGTAGTTTCTTTGTATTTAATTTATTAATTTAACCATTATAAATAATTACTTGGTTAAGTCACATGAGATATCAAACAATTTATTAATTTAACCATTATACATTATAACAGCAGGGAGGGCCATATCTTTCTGTATTATACAAGGTTCAGTGGTACGTTTAATGAGTTAAAAAAAAAAAAGCTAAAGCATAGAAAATTAATTAGAAGCAATATTATTTATTTTAGAGTGTTTTTGGTTGCTTTTCAAGGTATTTTTTACTTAAAAATATATTTTAATAAAAACTTTTTATTTTTTAAAATTTATTGTTGATAGGGCATATTTTGGTTACTTTTGAAAGTATTTTTTACTTGAAAATATATCTTAATAAAAAAATTTTATTTTAAAAAATTTATTGTTGATATCAAAATATTTAAAAATTAAAAAAAATAAAAATCAGGAGAACACGTAGAAAAAATTTAAAAATTTAAAAAAATAAAAATCAGGAGAACACGTAGCCATTAGACTTTAAAAAAAAAATGAAAATACAGGACCGGTTGTTGATTCTTGATTATATTCTGGTGATTACTTCCGAACAACATTCCATTCATTTGTAGTCAAAGTCAAATTGTCAAAGCCTGATGGATGTGGGAATTTAACGTGGAAAATCTGGTTCTCTAAAAATCAGTCAGTCTCCATGAGAACTCTCACATCTCATACGTGCAAGGCTTGAAAGTTGTATCTTTGCAATTTCTATGAAGTAAGCTTTACTAAATTAATATTAGCGTTTAAAGTAGAAGAAGAAGAAAGTAGAAACCACGCGCATATAGTAAATTCGGTCTCTCCTCTTTATTTAAGGTTTGCGGGCTTATGAGGATGTGTGTCAAATAAATGTGTAACTGACATGGTCAAACATTGACATAGTAATAGTATAATGACTAATTGAGACATAAAATCTTTAAATTATATATTCAAGATAAGATTGTTTAGTCATCATGATACAATTGTTATTTTCAAATTATACAGGGATATATTGATTTTATTTTGGCACAATAGAATTACCTAGCTACCCCTAAAATAAAAAATAAATAAACTTATATTCAAGACTTTATAGTTTTTTAATTTTTTTTAGCATAATAATCATTTTTAAATACTAAATTTACTCAATTGTCTTTCAGGGCTCTTCCATCCTCTTATCATGGCTTTTTGGTTAATATAAAGATGACCCAAGAACAGTTTTGTGTTATAATAAATATTAAATATTCTCAAAAACAATACTTATCGGCATATGTCAGTCCGTTTAATGACCAAACATTATTTTTTATGACAGCGTTTGAATCATCTGGGCATTCGAACATGCTCTTTAATCAGTCAAACGGCATGCCCCTTCATTATCAAGCGAAGCGGTCAGCTTCCCTGCACATCCTCTATATCGAATATGGTTGGAAACTAACTAGTTAGTTAGAGAGAAGGGGTTTGAACAAAACCCCCAATGAAGTCGCCGATGGTCCCAGTGCAGTTAATTGTTTTTTTTAAAAAAAACTGTGTTTTCCTGAGTAGTAAGTGTTATTATTTATTTTTCTTCAGAAATAGTAAAATTAGGCTAATAAAACATATATAGTTGAAGTCAACAGTCAAGGCAGATGCAATTACGTTTGTCATCATGTCCCAATTTTCCCGATGATTTTAATGCATGAGGGATGACAAGCGAAACACATGGTGGAAAATTGGACCCAAAGTCTACTCTCCTTAGTTTCATACAATAATTGAGCAACTTTTTTAAAAACAAATATATTTTGAAATCAAAAATAAATTTTAAAAATAATTGTTATCGTACTCTACATAAAAAATAATCCTAAAACGTTTATCTTACTAGTTTATTTGCAGTGGTTGCATGGAAAATTCACACAGCTCAAAGACAAAAACAGAAAACACTTCCTCCTAACATGGATGATGTCTGCATTGGTTCTCTCTGTCGAGAAGAATATAGTTTTTAGCGAAGAATAAACAGTTCTTTATTTATAGACCCCCTAGGCCTTTTACCCTACCAGCTTGTACTTGGTTTTGTACCCGTGTTTGTTTCATCGAGGGTTTTGATAAAAAAAAAATTAAATATTTTAAAGTTAAAAAAATTTAATATTAAATAATAAAATTAAAAAATATATTATTAAAAAATATATTAAGATATTCAATCAAATAATTATTTGCGTAAATAAAAGATAAAAAAATCACAAATAAAAAAGAAACTGAACTACAACATAAATCTTAATTATAAAATAACTCAATAATAAATAATAAAACTAAAAAAATTAAAAAATATATGTATGATCAACATGCGTTAACCCACTAATTTCATGACCATGAGCACATAATTGAGATAATTCTATAAAAAATAAAAAAAATAAAGATCAATTCCTTGAAAAATTAATTGTTAAAATATGAAATTGAAAAAAATATATAAAAAAACCTAAAACATATAAAAATCAATTTATGCTAGCTTTCGAAACTCATGATTGTGATGATGAGATCAATACTTAACATGGAGAAAGAAAAACCTAAAAAACAACAAAGAAAATTTCTCAATAAAAAAAACATCAAAGCATGAAATTTTTTTTAAAAAAATTATTATAATAAAAAAATTAAGAAAAAAATTTTGAGTCAACTAGGGTTAATTCATTAACATCTCAACAATGAAAACATGATTAAGATAACCTCATAAATAAAAAAAAGAGCACAAAGACAAACTCTAAAAAAATATTGAAAGATGAAATTGATTTTTTTATATGAAAAAAATAAAAAATGATTAAAGTTAACAAAGTTAACCTTTAAAACTCTTAATAGTGGTCATAAGGCCAATGATGACTATGTAAAAGAAAAAAACAACAAATAACAAAGAAAAATTCTTAATAAAGAAATATTGGGATGAAACTGGAAAGAAAAGCAACAAAAAAAATCAAAATTAATCAAGATAAACCCACCAATCCCATGACCATTGGTATAGGATTTGGATAATCTAATAGAAGGGGAAGCAGAAAAAATAAAAAGTATGAAGACTAATTTTATAAAAATCAAATATTAAATAATGAGATTAAAAAAATAATTTATATAAAGAATCTAAAAGTATCAAATTCAATCATGTTAACCTTTAAAACTCATTCTCAATTAAAAAAAATATAAATAGATAAAATATAAAAAAAATACAATAAAAAATATCCAAAGCAAAATAAATATCAGTAAAAAACATAAAGGTCAAGCTTAACATTAAAAAAATTAAAATCAAAGAATGAGGGATGAAATTGAGAGAAAAAAAATAGTTAGTGGAAGGATTTAAAAATATCAAAAGAATAAGAACTGAATTTGATATAAAAATCAAATAAAGTTTAATGATTATGAATGAAATTAAAAAAAAAATAATTAAAAAAATAAAAAATAAAGTAAATAACAGTAAAATAATAATAACTAAAATAGATATGAAAAATAAATGATAGAACATTCTCATAGTTTCGCCAACTATTTTTTTATTAATATTTTATACATGTAAAAAATTAAATTACTCTTAAACTAGCTTAATTATAACAAAAAAATTAGCATAAAAAAACCCTTATAGGGAGCTTTATTTTTGTCTCTTCCTACGCAGATGAGTAATTTAAATATGTTTAGAAAAAATATATTTAAAATGCCCTTTAATACAAGTTTTCGTTGTCTTGCAAAGATAATCAAGTCATTTAAGTAAGTTGGGTTTGTATTTAGTTAATTTGTCAATAGCTAATATATCCCTATAAAAGGATCAAATTACTACTCAGTTAGTTAGTTAATATATATTTTTTAAAGGGTTAAAATAAAAATAATATTATTTATTGTTACAGTATTTTTTTTTATAATTTATTTTTTATTTATATATTTAGAAAGACAGGATAAATATCCCAAGATTAAGAAAAACTAGAATAACGGATATTAAAAGTACAAACCTAAATGAGGATGGTTTCTGAAAAATTTTATAGTATTCAAGCTGTAATTAGTAATATCTAGTTATTTATTTTACAGGTTACTTTAAAGAAAAAGACATATATAAAAAGATAAAAAATATAAATTTATGCTTCATAAAAAATAATAGAAATACTTCTATCTAGTATTTCTCTCTTTGGTATCTGTCCTTTTATTTTAAATAAACTTAAAAAAATAACTACCAATATGTTATTAGTTGCAGCTTAATCACCATAAAATTCAGGGGATTTTTCTTTTCATTTTGAATCAGAATGCGGTGCCGTAGAATATAATCTGCTGCCCTTGGCTGGATTTTGGAAATGTTTTCCTAGACTTCAATTATTTTCTTGACTAAAAGAAAGATTAGGCCTTTAATTAATGAAGTCAACTTCAGAACGCATGTGATTTGCAGGTGATTAAGATAGAAAAAAATTAATTAATAGCCATCCCAACACTTGATGCACATTAATTAACTAAGCTAACTAAACCAGAAAAGAAGGGTTTGTGTCTGAAACAATGTTCTGAGAGCTGAAAACGTGTAAGACTGCACTCACAGATGTTGATGAATTTACATGTACCAAAAAGAAAATAAAATATTGATGAATTTACATGTACCAAAAAGAAAAAGAAAATTAAATTAAAAAATTAAATCTCCAAGTAACATCCTGATTGAACATGGCCAGAGTATTGTTGAGGTGTCTCCATTTTCTTCCACTTGTAATTCTTCAAGTCGAACACGTAAGCCATGTAGGGCTCACGGAATCCCGCAGTACCAATCACCACCAATTTATCCTGCCAGGCCGTTACATTAGCAATGTTGGACACGTCGGCAGGAAGATCGGCAACGGGTTGCCACGTGGATCCTTTAAGTGCCACCACAGAACCGCCACGACACATGTAGAGCTCCCCGTCGCTCCCGCACACGCAGGTCTTCGGACACATGGCATCTTCCAACAAGTCATCGAGCACATTTTCCCATTGCCAGGAGGCAATCTCGAACACCTCAGCAGTTCTCTCAAACCGGCCTTGCATCTCGGTGCAGTAGCCTCCTATGACATGGAGCTTGCCATGTCGGAAAATGGCCTTGCATTCGTCACGCTCTCTCGCCATGTCAGGTAGTGAGAGCCACTCATCTTTTGCTGTGTCATATGCCATCGTGGATCTCAATGCATTCTTGTCGCCATCATGTCCACCCACAACATACACCATCCGATCAAAATCAGACGCGAATCCAAAAAATGATCTGCGCACACCTGGCATGTCAGCTCCGCGCCGCCAAGTGGCCGAGACAAAATTGAAGATGAAAACGGAAACGGAAACCTCCCAGGTCACCGGATCCAACCCACCCAGCACCACAAGATCTGACCCAACACTAGCCACCTGGCAAAACAATGGCAACCCATCTGAGAACCCAGGAATCGGAGGTAATTCACACCAGTCACCTGTATCCGGTTCAAGAAGAGTGAACCGGTAGACCGGGCTGACCCCATTCTTCATGATATTCGAAGCTTGACTGGGGTTAACTCTCGCCTGTGCCATCACAATAAGCTTTTGACCAGTGCAAGTGGCTTTTCTTAGCCGGCGAAACTCCGGTGACTCGGTCTCGCTTTTCCAAGACTTGCAGATGGATACGACTGTTGCCAATTGCTTGTACTTCACCCGGATCAAACAATCACGAGCTATATCATAAGGAAGGCCTGGAATTAGCTCCATGACCACTAAAAGAAGGGGGGAAAAAGGGTATCAACAAGCACGAAAGTGTCACTAGCTGAAGGTTTGACAAGCCCAAATAAAAGCAGGGAGATAACAGAGCAAGTTTTGCTGTGATCACTCAAGAGACATGGCGCTTCTAATAAATAGGGAGATAAGCCTTGTTAAAGGCGGTTATTATTATTGTGTTCTAGAAAGGTGGGAGCAATTGGAATTGGAATTGGAAGAGACCGAGGGGTCGAAGAGACCATTGGAAGCAGCCTGTTGTTCTTTTTTCTTTTTTCTTTTTTATCTTATAATAACTGCCTGCCATGGGAAGCAGCCTGTTGTTCTTATTTCTTATTTCTTTTTTATCTTATAATAACTGCCTGGTCCCTTTACATGAATTTTATACTAGTGTGATGTTTAAGAACATAGTTGAAGGTGTAACCGTGCAAGTATCAAATAATGCCATTGCTTAATATAATATTTAGATGGTATTTGAAATTGTGTTGGAGGGTGTTTTTTAAAATGTGTTTTACTTGAAAATATATTAAATTTTTTTTTTTTATTTTTAAAAATTATTTTTAATATTAATATATCAAAATTTAATAGTAAAGTCAGGTAATTTAATTGATCAGATATTAAATTTATCTTTTAATAATTATAAATTTAAATTTTTTATGGTTATTAAAGTTTTATATAAACATTAATTTTAAAATTTATAAAATTAATTAAGGTGATATTTTTATTAATAATAATCAACAAAACCAAAACAAAAAAAATGAGTGTCATGGATTACGGTGTCAGAAACGACGTATCTTGGACGTTGTTTTGGTACTTCAATAAAAGAATTCATGTCAAACCATCGTAATGGCAACTTGCAGTGCTGGATCAGCATGTGGCGAGATGCTATAGAAGTAAGCTGTATCACATTTTTTTATTGCTCTGATTGGGGCATTTATTGCCATCCGCTGCCTGTCTGTTCAAATAGCAATAAAAAAAAAAAGAAAACCATCAAACAATAACTTCTACCTCATAAAGCCTCTCACTCAGCTTGCGGACGGAGGAAGCTTTGCTCTCAAGCATGCCTCTGTGTATTTATTTAAAATATATCTTATTTTAGGCACAGAAAAAGGCGTCTCAAGTCTCCACTTGCAGGTGTATATTATTTATTATATCTTGATGGATATGTGATTTCTATCCACATCCGACCACTTTACTATTTCTGGCTAGCCGACAAGCTCGCAGACGGAGATGGAGATGGTTCGATGGTCTGATAAAACGATTGGCGACTGGCGGGGACCTCTGTCCTTTCAATGTGCTTACAAGGTAAAATTCGTAGCAAGGCATGGGCAAAATAGAGGTCAGGCAAGCCACCGGTTTGCAAAACGACTGACAAAGACCACCGGCGAAGGCTTGGATGGTGCTGAAATATCAGATGCGTTCATTCGTGATGTCAACACGCACGAATTTGTCCATCGAAGCTTATTCTTCACTGAAAATGGTATTTTTGAATGTTGCTGTTACTGACGGGTGCGGTCAACTTGATGATATCTGTGAAATTAGTGTCTGGAAGATTTGCTCAGAGATTTTAAAATAATTGCAAAAAAATAAATTAAATGAGGGAAGAATTTTATTGTTTGTCAAGAGACTCAAGACACACAGATTACTGTGTATTAAAATAATATATGAATAAAATTCTTCTTGATATAAAAAACTAGTTAAGTATACAACTAGTGATTGTTTTTTTTATTAAATATATTTATCATTAAATAAATAATTAAAAACAAAATAATGTATTGTTTTTTTCACTACAATATAAATATTGATTTACTTTTATGGGTACAAAGTTTTAACTTTTGGGTGTGAGGTTCTTTAGTTATTTTTCATGTTTTTTTTTTATTTTATTCATTATCATGTTCGTTGAAAATTTGTGTTCTTTTTTGTTTTGAATTTATTTATTAATTTAACTTTTTTTAATTTTTTATTTTAATTTGAGATTTTCGCTTATCCTTTCAATTTTTTTCAAATAAAATATTTATTTTTTTAATTATTATTTTTTTATCCTTTAATTTTTTCAAATAAAATATTTATTTTTTTAACTACTATTTTTTTATCCTTTTTTTTTTATCTTATCATTTGATATTTTAATGATTGAGATTTGATCTCCTAAGTTTTTTCAATTGTTTATAAACCTTACCCAAGATCCAATTTGGGACAATAATCAGGTAACGAGTTAAGTAGGTTAACTCGAGCTAACCTCAGCCAACCAAATCCCTTAATAAAATAAAATAAAAATTAAAATGATATCATTTAAAAAACAAAAAAAAAGAAAATAGTCAACGGGTTTTGACTAGATCTTCCTCGACCTAACCAAAACACAGGTCAACCCAAGTTTTTAAGTCTTACACTTGATCAATTCTTTTTTAATTTCTTTTAAACCTTGGCCTATTTATTGGTCAAACTGTAGAGTCAAAGTCAAGTAAAGTCTTAAAATAGTTGTTTTTTTAAATGTGATGCTTTCAATTTAGTCAATAACTCGAGTTATGGGTTTGAAAAGTTTACAGAAGTTGATATTTTTTTTTTCAATTACATCTTTTGAAGTTGTTTTTTTTTTTAAGAAAAAAAGCTTCATTTATCCAAGTAGCTTAGATTTCTTTTGAAGTCTGTTTTTTTTTTTTGTCATTTTTTTTTTCAATTACATCCTTTGAAGTTGTTTTTTTTTTTAAAAAAAAAGCTTCATTTATCCAAGTGGCTTAGATTTCTTTTGAAGTCTGCTTTTTTTTTTTTTTGTCCTTTAAAGTTCAATTCTTTTTAAAATTAAACTTTTTTTTCTGTTTTATTTTTTATTTGATTATCATGTCCATATGATTCTATTTGCAGATTTTTATAACCTCACTTAGTTTTGCTAATATTTTTTTTATTATTACTTATTCATCATTAATTTTTTTATGGTGAGAAAATTATGTACTTTCCTTCCTTAAACACATGTCTTCTACACACACTCAATAAAGTATTAGCTACCAAATATATTTAAAATAATTAATTATAATATATTAATTTAATCATAATAGCTAAGTTAATAAAATCTATTAATTACTAAAAACAATTATTATTTATTATAATTCCAAATCAATATTCTAACATTCTCCCATAGGATTTAAAACTATTCATGTAATAAATAAAATAGAAATCACCAATTAATATTAATATTGTGTAATAGATGTTAGATATCTTTAGTGTTATATTTTTGTGAGCACTACATGTTGGGTATACAAAAGTGAGTGATGCAAGTCACAAGAACAGGGGCACTTTAAATTAAATTCATTCTAATCTTCGAGATTTTTCTAGAGTTATTTTCAAACGTGATGTTAGCTTCTTTTATCGATGATTACTATATAAAGATCTCAATTAATTTTCTCAAAGGACAAGCATGAAGTGTCTAAGAATTTGAAGCAATGAAAGATCATGATTAAGAATAAAATAGTAAAAATGGTGTAGAGATTCATGATAAACGATGATGTAAAATCTTATTCATGAGAGTATTATCATGGGTTCGCAAGGAAGAAGGTTTTGTTGGCCATACAATGGATAGGCATGTACCCTAGCAAAACAATGTGACTGGAAAGGTGAACAAAACTTGTAAGAGAAAGCAAGATCCATTTTACCGAATATTATATTATTTAGGGATATTTTGGTAGAAAGTATTTGGAGAGCTTATTATTAGGTAGAAAGCAAGATTCATTTTATTGAATAATATTTTATTATTAATATTATTATTATTATCATTATCACTATTATTACTAATATTATCATCATCATCAATAATATTATTAGTATCACTATTATTATTATTATTAATATTATTATTATTACAATCACTATAATTACCATTATTAGTATTACCACCACAACTATTATTATTAATATTACTATTGAAATAACAAAAATCATAAACTTGATCTGAAGGATAAAATCAAAAATTATAACAAAAAAACAAAAAAAATAAATAAAAAAATAAAAAAAGAGGCTAAACTAAAATAAATATTATTACTATTAAAAAAATCATAAATTTAATTTGAAAGATAAAATTAAAAACTAGAAAAGTTTTGATAAAAAAGCCAATGAAAAAAATAAGAAATCAAATATAAAAGGACTGAATTGACAAACATTATATACATAAATTAGAATTGAAGGATTAAATTAAAAAAATCTATAAATGAAACAAGAAATTAAAAGAATGAGGATTGTAATGAAAAACAAAACATATAAGAAATTATAATTAAAAGACTACATTAAAAAAAACTTTTATAAAAAAAATAAAAATAAATAAAAAATTAAAAGAATAAAGACTGAAAATAAAAATCAAACAAAAAAAACAATGATGTATTTTAGCTTTTAAAAAAGAAAAAAATAAAAAAAGTATTGATAATCCAAACACTACACATCTACGCATACCACACCATATAAAAAAGAAAACGGTTATACATCTAGTAAAATGATAAATGGTCAAAATTAATCACTGAATTGTGTCATGCTATATTTAAAAGACACGAAAAAATGTATTTTTCACTCTATATGAATAGAAAACACAAACACCCTTATCTAATATCTCATAAAGTTTTTATATTAGAGACAAAAAAATATTTTTATTGTTAAAAAACTTGTGAAAAATCAAGAAAATTCTTGGTTAATAGTTATAAATTTTATTGATTACAAGATAAAATAATAATTTTATTATATCAAAAATAAAAATATATATATATATATATATATCTATCTTCAAATAATTTTTTAATAAAGAATGAGCTCATAAAAAGGACAACATGCTCAACTTCCAAGACTTAAAGCTTTTCGTGCTCAAGGCAAAGAATTAATGGCACTACAATGATACAAAGTAAACTACATGTAAAGTTACAATGAAACTCCCACCCTTTTTAACTTTTCTTTTAAAAGCATTACTTTGAGTGATCTTGCAGTGAAGAAGATCGGCAACAGCTTTCGTTTTCCAAATTCAAACATTAAAGGGCTTGATGGAGAAGGTGAAAAGTTTGGGATATTAAAAAAATTCGAGCTAGAGAAAGATTTGCTGTATCGTGGCATGAATTCTAATCCTAATTATATACCGACTTTACAGCATACTTCTCTTGGGTTTAGGATTGGTTTGGCCTCACAGTGAAAACCTTGCGGGATTTAACAACGCTCGATCGAATTGCGATTAAGATATATTTCCTGGCATGGAATCATCTAATTAGCCGAACCGAGTATAAATAGTCATCGAACCCTAAACGGCAAACCAGCTGCCTCTCTCCTTCCTTCACTCTCCCGCGCAGCCGCCGCCCAAGATTGGCCTTGGTCCTTCACCATCGCGAGAAGAAACAGTCACCCACGAACCACCTTTCTCTCAACTTCCTGCCTCTCTCTTCTCTCATCCAACCAGTTTCGGGTTCTGTGAGATCTCTTGGAAAATCACCAATTTTATTCTCTTTTGTATTTAACTTTCTCTCTCTCTTCCCAAGGAAGGGAGGAAGAGGAGTGGAAGGGAGAAGATGGAGGAGAGTAAGGGTCCGAAGAAGGTGATGTCGGCATGTGATGTGGAGGCGTTGAAGAAATGTTTGGAAGAAAATAAAGGGGATTACGTCAAGTGTCAGTCCCAGATTGAGGCCTTCAAGTCTTCCTGTTCTCTCAACAAGCATCCTCCTTCTACTACCTCTATGGAATCCCAAACAAAGACGGCTTAATGAACTCAGTTATTTCTGGTTTGGGAGAGGTTTCTTCTTAGATTTTGACGGTGACCCACTTTCTCCAATTTATTTTAACGTATTGGGCATATGTTCTTCAATTTTTTGTATTAGTTTGCCTAATGAAATTGGTTTTATTTTATGATACTAATTAGATATGTTCTCATGTTGAATCCTTTATTTGTTCAAATAACACTATCTGAATTCCCATTTGGTAGGGCTCACGCAGTACAAGAACTCCTAGATCGTATAAACTGAATTCGGTTGATTTGTGAGGTAGTTCATTGTTATAGGGAGTTCTTTTTACTGGTGTTCATGGCGAGGCTTTCATCAGTCAACTTTGGGTGGAACTTGATGGTTAATTTTCAGCGTTTCACATGGTTTGAGAAAAACTCCGCAGCATAATTGGAACTAGTGTTTTCTTATGCCATAAGCAAGCTCTTTCCGTATAGCACTCGACAATAGATTTTAAATGTCTCTTCCTGACCTATTCTCTTTTCATGGAAGCAATGCGGTTGATGCAGAGATGTCTGTGATATTTCGGTGGTATTTAGATGGTTTTATTTTTTATTTTTTTAATATTACTTTAATTAAAAATAAAGCTTTATTTTTGGATGATTTATGTCAGAAATTTAATGAATTAATCTGAATCATTCTTATATGATTCTGTTTCAATAATTTTCTAAAACATCTCATCTTAATTTATTTTTAATTAAATTATATTTTTAATCATTTTTAGATTAGTTTTAAAATAAATCAAAAGATTTACATGACCCGCACATATAGCATGACATTGTTTCAGTCTAGTATAATATAATGCACAATGAAAGCCTGTTGGCTAGTATAATATAATGCACAATGAAAGCCTTGTTGGTTTTTTTAATTAATATCTTTTTATTTTTTAATACTAAATTTATTTTTCATTGATTTATCACATTCTCATAACATTAATTACAAGTTTAGTTAATAAAATCAATTGCAAGTTTTGTGAATAAAATCTGTTGTTTGAGTTTTTTTTAATTAACTTTTTTAATTTTTTAATATTAAATTAATTAAAAATTAAACTTAATGATTTATTTTGTTTACTTTCTATGTAATTATGTTGGTCTCATAACTCGAGAATATTGCTTAACAGATTCAGCTAAGTTGACTTGAATTGTTTTTTGTGTGATTTTTTTAATTGAAACTTTTTTCAATATTATCATTTAATATTGTATTGGTTTAGAATTGAGTTTTATAATTTTATTTTTTATTTTTTATTAGGATATGTTAGTCTCATAATAAGAGTTGCAAGTTTTGTCATTTTAAGTTTTTAATCCTGATAAATTGAATTGTTTTTTTTTTAAATTATCTTAGTTTTATGATACGGATTATAAGTTCTTTAATATTGAATTTTATTTTTGTTGGGTTTTTCACATCTCACGACCTGAGTTATGAGTTTTAGCGGGTTAACTCAACTGATTTAATTTTTTTAATTGACATTTTTTTCATTTAATTTTATTATTTAATAGTGTTTTATTGAGAATTAGGTTTTATGGTTTATTTTGGTTTGATTTTTATTAAGTTATTATAGACTCAATATTTAAAAATAGTGCTTAACAGGTTAATTTATATTGATTTAACTTATTTTTTATGTTATTTTTTTTAAATTTAAATCCTCAAAATTTTTATCTTTCAACATTGACTTTGACATAATTAATTGAGAATTAAACTTCATAATTTATTTTAATTTACTTTTTATAGAGTTATATCGGTCTCATGGCTAAAGTCGTAAATTTGACGAGTTAAATAATTTTTTTTTTAATGAGGTTATCTCCATCATTTTATAATTTATTTTTTTTCTTTTTAATCTTATCCTTTAATATTGAAATGATTAAAAATTAAATTTTATAATTTATTTTAATTTATTTTTTATAAGGTTATCTTGATTTTGTAACTCGAATTACAAATTTAATAGATTAATTTGGTTTTTTTAGATTTTTTTTATTGATCTTTTTCATTTTTATTCTTTAATATATATCTGATTAATTAGGAATGAGTTTTTATAATTTATTTTTTATAAAGTTATTATAATACTCATGTAAATATAATTTTAATATTAAAAAAAAGTTTTTTTAGGCTTTTTTAAGTAAAAATTATATTTTTATTAATTATTTAATTTACTTTTAAATTTGCAAAACAAGGAAGTTATATCGTATTAATCTCCACACGATACATTTATTTTTTCACTAGAAAAATAATTAAAAAAAAATGGTAATGTTTAATTTGTTTCTAAAAAAAATAATCTAGTGTGCGTGTCAACCGTGGTGTCCCTGGAATTTTAAATTTTCAAATATAAAAAGACGCATTTGTTTTCTTATTCATTTGACCCCATTGAATCGAGAGTTTTTCTAACCGTTTCTTTCTTCTTCTTTTTTCACTTAACGGGGAAATGAACTTTAAAATTGGAACCAAAATTCGTGTCTGCCGTATCCCACCGTTTCCCCCTCAACAGGTTTTTTTTTCACGTTATAAATTGGTGGGGCCAAACTGAAACACTTAGGTCTCCAACATCTTAATCAATCCCTTCTCATCCTAGTCTCTTCGTTCTTAAACATCTTCTTCACATTCCAACTCCTTAGATTTCCTATGGCACAGCTAATCCCAAGCCTCCCTAATGATATTGCTACCGAATGCTTGATACGCTTGCCATTTCAACACTTTCCTGCAGCGACGTTGGCATGCGAAGACTGGAAACTTGAGATTGAGTCACCAGAGTTTTTTCAAAGTCGAAAGGTTGCTGGTTATAGCCAACCCACCATTGTTATGACAGTAGCAAGGGTTGGTGAAGAAACAGGAGGTGGCAGTCAGAAAAATCCAAGAAGCCCAACAATTTATAGGCTTGCATTTTGTGACCTTAAAACGGGAACATGGGGTGAGTTGCAGCCAATTCCAGAATTCTCAAAAGGTCTGCCGATGTTTTGCCAATTGGCCGTGGCTGGTTTAAATCTGGTGGTGATTGGCGGGTGGGATCCAGAAACTTGCAGGGTATCCAACGCCGTGTTTATATACAGTTTCGTGTCAGCCACGTGGCGTCGTGGGGCTGACATGCCTGGTGTTAAGAGGTCACTTTTTGGTTGTGCAGCGGATATTAATGGCGACAAGGTGTATGTTGCGGGGGGGCATGACGAGGAAAAGAATGCATTAACTTCTGTTTTGGGATATGATGTGGCAAAGGATGATTGGATTAAATTGCCCAACATGGCGAGGGAGCGTGACGAGTGCAATGCCGTGTTCCATTCTGGCAAAATCCATGTCTTTGGCGGGTACTCCACGGAAGCACAAGGTGTTTTCGATGCAAGTTCTGAGGCCTTTGATCTTGACGAGTGGCGGTGGGTTCAAATGCAAGAGAACTTTTTAGGAACAAACATGAGTGCAAGAACCTGTGTGGCTGATAGTAATGGAAGGTTTTGCATATGTCAAGGTAGTGAGGTGATGGTTGCAGACGAGGATGCCGACTGGCGGAGAGTTGCTGAGTTGCCGATTGATATGGGCGGCGTCCCTGCTTGTGTGATGATGGGCCAGAATAAATTACTTGTGATTGGGTCTGCAAAATCTGATGATCCCCATATGTTCTACGAGTTGGATTTGGAGAGATGCATATGGACCAAGCTGGAGGCTCCAAAACAGCACTCGGGCCATGTTCAATCAATTTGTTTTCTGGAGATCTAAGTTTTACCAGTATTTGGGCACTAAATCTTAACTCAAGGAAGAGATTAACTAAATATCATCTGTTATCATTATCATTTTTCTTATAAATCTATGTATTATCATTTCGTTTGTTGAATGGTATTAAGATCAAGTGTTTTCATGCATGCTTTTTACCCTAACATCAGCTATGGTTCGAGAGTGTTTCGACAAGTGGGTCAAACAGACACAGACTTAGAATTTCTTTTCGCAAGCAAATGTCAACGAAATTACTCAGGATCCATATTTCTCATGACCAGAGAATTCAAACATTCATTGTTTGCAGCCCTTAAAACCCTCACCACCCTTATGAAAGATTCACCCCTTAACACCCCTACGAAAGATTCTACAATGCAAGGCGGCACTAGTGTAGAAAGATTCGTTACCCTCCTTTTAGGAAGAGTGATTTGAGTGAGAGAGACATGTTTGTTAAGGGTAGCATGTTCACAGAATCTAGCAGCACTAATGGCTCCTACCCTTGGATGAGCAGGTCCCATACAAGGTCCTAGTGGCCTCCTCGTCCAAAGGTGGGAAGAACTTGGTGGAGTGGTTAGCGTTATAATGCAAGGTCATCTAGCATTATCTCCTCATAAGAAAATAACGGGGAACAAATCCCTTCCTCTCCATAAAAAGAAGTTACAATGATAAAAAGGTACAACACGCGTGATGCATTTTACCTAGACTATTGCGTTGTGCTTGTGTTGGAAGCAACACTGATAAAACTAGTGTTTGATAATTAAATGATTTCTTAAAAAATTCTACTTGTCTCAAAAGTCATGTAGTTTGTTTTGAATGTGAACCTTACCTTTGTCAAATATTGTGTTTATATATTTTTTTAAAAAAAAAACCAACTTCGCTTAGTATCCACGTCCGGTTTGTAGTTCATTTTCTTGTGCCATGTAGAGGAAATGATTTTATCTTATAACCATAGTTCATATTTCAGAAATTCCTCTTTGAGAACCACAAAAAGACAGAATGGAGTTGGTACCATGCAGAACCCTGATTTAGACGAATCTGTATCGTGCATCCACTTCAGTTGTCTGCTAAACTTTATCTAAGCAGTTATGACTTGTGACACTACAGAAAGCTAGAAATAAATAAGTAAATAAACCGTAACAAAATTGAATAGGAAACTCAAGAAATCAAATAAAAGTTTTTTTTTAATGGTTGCAAGAACAGAAAACATGACAACTGCATTACAATAAAGAAAATAAAAGGGAAGCTTGACTACTGGGATGGCTTAAATTTTGTGACTCTACTTTCATACAATAAAACGTCCAGTGTATATACTATCCCTTGTTTTAAAGTATCAGTAGAAGCTCGACTACTGGGATATCTTAAATTTTGTGACTGTACTTTCATACAACAAAACATCCCAGGTATATAACATCCCTTGTTCCAAGGTATCAGTAGAATTAATTGCAGACATAATTGAATATGAAGTTCCGAGCATGTTCCGAGTAACATAATGGATGATAACTAGCAAAATATAAAAAGACACTCCAAACAATAAAAGGAAGCACCCATTTGTCACAGCTAAGAATTTCATTTGCATAATTAAATCTGGAGATAATATTCTAATATCATATCCTGAAACATGATATTTGAGATGTCGATCCAGCAAAAATGCTTAAAGCCAACAAGAAGAAAAATTCACACCTGATATTCGTTTGTAGCATGTATGCTTATGCACAGATGCAGATAAACTAGTAGAATCCTGTGAAGATGAGCATTACCTGGGAGTTTACAACATAAACATCTCCCAGAGAGTAAAGTAAGCGAACACATGTAGTTGCCGAAGTCTACAATACTGACTTTGACAAATTTGAATGTTGGGATATGAACCTCGGAATATATCAGACATGAGGTACCTTTTCACTCTCAGTTCCAACAGAAGCAATAAGAACTTTAAAAGGCCTGCTCCTGTGGTCCTTTACTGCCAGTCAACTTCTTATGTGACCTCTGTCAAGCCTTCCGGCATAGTTCTTATCAACAGATTTAGAGATTGGTAAATTGTAGATGTTTTTTTTAGATTCAGCCAACCTGGTAGAAGACTCATAGGAATGGCTAAATTCATTTATAATTTTGCCAAGATTTTTCAGCTTCTCTAAAAGAACTCTTAAACAGTTCTTCACAGCAAGGTAGATTGAAATTTACCCCTTGTCTGCAGAAATTCTTGTTTTTTCAGAAGGTTCTGATTCAATCACCAGGTTTGCTGATTTAAGAAGTAAGAGCTGACTCTTTCCAGCACTTACGCTGCTGCAGGGCATCGTAAGCATATCCTCATAGCAAATGCTTTTTCTGCAGCATCTTTTCAGTGCAAGAAGATTGAGTATTTAAGTTTATTGTTAACAGAAAGTTGAACTATTGCTGCGGAGATCTCAGCTTATATTTTTTCTTCACACCAAGTTAGCCATTGTCATCTGACTTTCAGTGAGAAAGACCAGCATTTTCACTCGATGAAGGATAATCTTCCACTTATCAAATTATTCCTGTTCATTTTCCATAATCCACCAAGCAAATTGATTTCCTTCAGCAGGAAAACCGGCAATGCATTGATCTGAAACCAAATAAATAATTTAAGGTTATGATATTATGTTTATTTTTGAACTATTTTATTGCTGATCTGAAAAAACAATACCAGATTAGTTTGAAAGGCATGCCCACAAATGGTATCATGATATTGTCCTATCAATTCATGCACTAAATAGAAATTCTGTAAGCAAAAAAAGAAACGGCAGTTCTGCAGTCTTGGCCTTTTTAAAGAAGACTTCATACAAACTGCACATCAAATAAAGTTCAAGAAGACAAGATGAGAAAAGAGACGACACTCAACATATGATGCAAGGTGCTCATGTCATGTGATTCCCAGCTCCCATACAGTGGCTTGGCACATACTCTGACAGTTTCCCATGGAAACCTATTGGAATCATCCTCCGCAATCCCATGTTGGATCATATGCATAAAATTCTTATGATCGCCAGGCCAATCCTTTTCCAATAAGTGCAAAGAGGTGCAAAATGATGAAAAATTCAACTGAATGCAATACTATCAAAATGTATTTGAAATTACTGAAATAAATTTTGGCCACCATTGTAGATAAAACATATATGCAATTCATTATGAAAATCTCTAAAAAGTATAAAATGACAATGGTGGCCACACCAAGACATGTTTGGAACAAAAAATCTCAATTCCAAGAACAACAAGATGCTGAAAATGGCATGAGCACCAAGAAAAGAAATATCATGCAAATTTCTATTTAAAGAAGTAAATAATATATCATGCACTGGTTACTAGTAGTAATATACAGAAGACCACTAATGAAGAGCATGCATTTAATAATGCATTACAATTTGTGCATTTTGTTGCATGATGCCAAAATCATTTTAGCACAAGTTTTCAAGTCATTAAATGTGCACAAGTCATTGATCAAAAATTTTCCAATCAAGAACAAAAAGAAAAAAAACTGTCAGCGTAATTATTTTCTTATATATATGAATTAATTGTTGCCACATGGTTCACACCTATCCAGGAGGCAGAGACTGCTGATTCTGCAACAACAAGATCTGCCTTCATGGCTGTTTGAAGCTGAGATCTGTTGTGTCTTCGGGAACTCAGATCCTTCATCTAGCAAGCTCTGGCATCAGGCTACTGTTCTTGCTGGGACTACAGCAGAAACTATGGCTCAAAGCTCAAAAACTTTGTTGCCAGCTTCAACATTGATAGTGAAGCTTCAGTCATTAAGAGCTCATGCAATATCAGCACAAATTTCTGTTGCTGCTTCTTTTTACCATGTGCTTTGCCACGCAACCAGTGTCCTTATCTTAGAAGTATAAATCCAATTTCATGAAACTTATTTCCCCTCCTTGGCCAAAACCACAATAATCTTTTACCATGTCTGACCTGATTATTATCAGTCCTATTGTCTACAACTATCAAACTATCATTAGAAAGCAAATCTCACCATGCATTCTGTTCAGTGTCAGAAAGTCATTACTGGATTTACCTCCAAGCCCTTGAACTCCTCATTATTGCCATGAGCCCATCTGACTGCAAATAAAACTTGAGGTAGGTCCATCAATTGGTTTGAAACCATTTTAAGCTGCCGCCAATCTCTCTTCATGGAGTTTGACTTAAATGCAATTGATGGGTAAGAGCGTTCCTAGGTATTGATCTCTTGGACAATGTGGGCAAAGCTGCCAACTTGCCTTGAAGGTGATTGCCCAGCTACATTAACATGTAAATCTCCTCCGGTCTTGCCTTCCCACGTCAGCTTCTTCAACTATACACCGCCAAAATATTATCCACACTGTGTGTTACATGAATTACCCAAAAAATCAGCACAACTATAGAGGATTTGAACTGGTCTAAATGTCTAATACAGCTTTCAAAGTTCACCTGAAACCAAAAAATAAAAAAAGGAAAGAAAGAAAAGGATTGCTTTCTGATGGAAAATAAGTTTTTTTTTTTTTTTCATTTTCTGTATATCATTACATTTTTTACAACCAAGCAGTGGCCTAAGAGAAAGAGAACTGGTATATCGAATAAGAAAAAAGAAGAAAAGTTTACTAAAATTAAAGTTATGAATTTACATAAAACAATTGAAATTCTAAGCTTCTCAGTTTTTCTTCTCTTTTCTTTTCCATGAGTAAAAGAAAGCTTAATTTACTTACATAGCCAATACTAAATTAATAGAATAAATATATCAAGAACTGCTTTCATTTTCTTTCCATTTTCTACACTTTCTCAGCAACCAAACAGAGACCAATGGCAATTGAGGATCATAAAGTGATACTATTATAGATTTTCCTAAGCATTAATCAGAATCTTCCAGAACAGTAGTGGAGCTACAACACAAAGTAAATCAATTTTGTTGCCTTATTTTCCTACATTGATTTCTCAGCAGCCAAACAGAATTTATAGTGATGAAAACACATCAACAGAAAGTATCTTAGCAGTTTGTAACTTATCATGCAATGCAGCTTAAAGTCAGAAGGAGAGAGAAAAGAAATTACTTTTGATCTTTTCGACAGAGAAACAAAAGATCTTCTATGCTCATCATTTTTCTACACATTTTCTTACCTTGTATCTAAATAGCTTTCAGCGTACAGTGTGCTCTAGGATATGCACACAAAGTTGAATGAGAGATCCCAGCTCAAGCTGAGATTAAACCCAATCCTAGCTTGAATTCAAGATAGAGAATTCTAAGCAATTTTGGAATATGGCAAAACATGGGTGTGTGTGTGGGCAAGAATAGGAAATGAAATTTTCCACAAAAGGATCACATGAGTTATAGATATATGTTGACAATATCACCAAGCCTGCATACATTAAACAGAGAGAAAAGGCAATCTAAAGCAAGGGCCGATGGAATTTTGCAGTTTTCATTTGATAGAAAGTAGAAGAAACTGCATGTAGCACAAGATAATAGTGTAAATTTTGCATTGAATATAATAAAAATATATTTCAGGAAATGCACAATACCACTATAAGAATAAATACATCAACAAATGTTCACCAAGGTCATCACCATACCAAACATTTCACACTCCAATCGGTCATATTCAGGAAGCATATAAATTTCAAGCTATTCCAACTCCCAGGAAAAACCATTTGAGGAGCCAAATTACATCCACATCAATGCTTCAAGAGTTCTTTTAAATCAGTGTCACCAATGCAAAGTAAAACAGAGAATGCCAGAATTAGAAGATCACATGATATGCCATGAACTATAACTTGTAGAAAGGATCGTTTGTATCCCGCAGTAACACCAGCAATATCTCCCAGTATAATCCACTTGTCACACATTTTTCTTGATTGGCTCCATATGTTTGTTTAGCTCCTTAAATTAAAACTGCAAAGCAGTAGCATGATAGATTCTTCGATTTTCCCAGATGCCTCTTTGTTTTCAGTTAGACTAATAGAGCTTGCATTTGCTTGTTCCAACACAAACTGCACATTCATTTGCATCTCCTGCTATATGGCTTAAACAGTAGTTTATCCTATCATCCATAACATCCTGCATTATAAATCACTTCAGTATAGAATACAAGGCAAGCAGCTTCCATTCAAAAGAAATTATGTACTCAAGTTGGGTGGTACATGGTCACGACTTCTGGGAAAAAGTAAAAAACTCAAAGGAAAAGGGAGGTCATCATCACAGAGATGCTTATGGATATCTATAAAAGTGTCATTGCGGGAAAAAATTAAATTACTATTCAATGTGGATGTGGAAAGAGCAAATACTTATCACAGGAGAAAGTGGAAGAGTGTATGATTATATTGGATCCATCAGCAGCGACCAAGATACTTTAACAAAAAATAGATAACATAAGCACACCATAAATTTCACACACAGTTTGGAACTTAGCCAACCCTATACAGACCTATGTAGATATTATGGTAGCCGAGATACATACCACAAGTAGCTCATGCAAGCCAAGAGGTGCAGTTATGAGATATGAGACACCAGGATGCTCCTTAGCAGCTTCATCAGTCAATGAAGGAATATCCTTTCGAACAAAAATATAGTGGAATGTTTGTTAGTATGACATGTAAAGCTGTAAGAAGAATAAATAAATGGATAATCCAGTCGAGGAAGAAAACAACAATGAATTACCCGGTACCAATGTCGTCCTGGAAAGAGAAAGAATGGGCTCACGATCACACGATTCGCCCCTTGTTGAACACACAAACCAAAAGCATCTCTTATCGAGGGCTCAGCCAGCTCCTGATTAAATTCATATATTAAGAAAAACATTACCAGAAGTGCATCGTTCACTTCATAGATGTAAATAGTTGAAGAAGAACACTGCGTATTTGAACGTGAAAATATAAATGAAAAACCTCCAAGGCAAAAAAGGAGTTCGTGAAAAAGAAGCAAATACCATATGAGCAGGCTCCACAATTAGGTACCCAGTTTTATCTCTAAACATGGCCACAAACTCATCTAAAATTCACAAAGCACAGCTATTTGATTATTATTTTTATGGGGAAAAAAACCATAAAATCAAATAAGGTATGGTATTTGACAAAAAAGAAGAAGCAACTTACTGAGCATGAGATTTGATTCTTTACGACGTGAGCCATGGTCAACAATGATGACACCGTCTTTGTCGCCCACAAAGACCCCGTTCCCTCTAGGGTTCGTCTTCATAATTCCACCATCCCCACTGTTCAAACGCAAGCTTCTTCTTGATGAATACTTTACGTTTTGTAAATTCGAGGATCTGGGGGTCAACGCCCATCTGGGATTTCTTCTCACAGTTGTTTCCCTTCCTGAACAACAATTACTGCAATTGCCAAACAAACGAAAAAACACGGCAGAAGAAACCAATAAGGGAGCGGCTACTGCTTATTTCAAAGAAAATATAATGCAATCTGAAGCCAGAAACTCCATTAAAGAATTAATCAGAAAAGAAGTAAGTTAATTAATTACCTTTTAGCCAGAATGAGTGGAGAGACTGATGAGACAGAAAACGATTCCAACCCCATCTTTTTTTCCTTCTTTTTTTGAGCTAGTTTTGTTATCTATCGTTACCTCTGTCGCAGAATTTTTTTATAATAAATAAATAAATAAGCAGTAGCTGAGAGAGGCAAAACGGCTAGGTAGCGCCATCACTCGGCCGTGCTGGGTACGTTTCTGAACATGCTCTACGGACGGAGACGTGAAGGGAAAAATGAGGCAATTTTTATGTACCTCCACGGCTCCACCAGGGGGTTCTCGGGGGACAAAGATAAGGAGGACCTTCTCATGAAACTTTTTTTTTTTTTTTGTCCCTCCCTTCAATCCTAAACTTTTCACAATTCCAAGTCATATCCTTGTCTTTCATGTATTAGTCATAAACATCGATTTTAATCAAGTTTATAAAAGTAAAAATCATATGAAAAAAAAAAGAAAAAAATAGTTTATAAAAGTAAAAATCATATGAAAAATAAAAATAAAAATGTAAGAGTAATAGTCAACTAGAGTGGCAATAACAACCACTTTTTCCTGATTTAGGAGTGTGGCATATGATATAGATTGGTTATGAATTTTTTTTTTAATTTATTAAAATTAAATATATAAAAAAAATTAAAAAAATAAATTTTAATTTTTTTTTAATACACTTGACTGCATTCTAAACACATCTTAATAGCAACACTATTATAAGTTTGAAATACAAGTGATAAAAAACTTATTATTGATGAAAAACCTTTTAAACAAAAAGTAAACCTACATATATTGAATGTTGGGTATCTTACTTATCTGTAAGTGTAGCTGTCAAATCTTGATTTTGTTCATTATTATAGGTTAGGAGAGTGATGAGTCTTAAAATCTAAAATGTTTAGGAATAAGATTGATATATTGGATAATAAATTAATTTTTTAATTTAAATAATTTGATTAATTTTTTATATTTAAGGTGTCTAATGGCTTGATATAAAAAGCCTAAAAGAATTTGTAACTAGTAGCACGTAATGCCTAGTAAGCCAGGTGATCGGTAGTTGTGGTACTAACAGGCGATGCCTCATAAACCAGATAACCAGTAGCTAGTACTTATAAAACATCTCATTTGACAGACGTGGAGACTTTTCGATAATAAAGCATTAACTTTATAAAGAGAAAAAATACAATGATATTTTAGAGAGATAACCTTTGAAAATATGTATGCTGAAATGGTTAAGAATGAAGCGATTATTAACCTTAAGTTTGAATAATTCATGATATATTTTATAGCTCATGAGTCTTATCTTTTTAAGGGGAAAGGGGGCTAAAATATAATTTTACTTTTGTGATATTTTGAGTTTTATTCAACTTAAAATAAAATATATTAAATTCATATAAAATAATGAAGAACCCATGTGGGGTCCTAAAGGAACCCCCAAGGAAGTGTTGGGCTCGAGACGCATGCCTAATTCCATGGAGGTTCTAGGGTGCATACCTAGCACCCCTAATAATTTAGGTGTTGAAGCGCCCAACACCTTAATTAAATGGGTCTAAATGTTATACTCGAATCCAATAACAAGTGCTTATATGCCCCAACACCTAAAATAATTAGGTTTGGTCATAACAGATGGACCTAATAAAGGGTGATGACACAATCAACACCCTCACTTGATAGGAAGAAGGGTGTTATCGTATCCAGCATACCCAATTAATTAGGGGGTGATGGTGCCAACACCCTTAACTCTTGCTAGGCGTGAGATACCCAGTAAGTTGTGACATCTAGTATAGGCTCGAGCCATAATACCTGAGCCCACGTATCTTCGTAGTAATTAAGCTCGAATGTAGGAGTTCGAACCTAGAGAAAATATCTTTTAGGCCTATTTGAGGGGGGGTTTAGGTCCATTTTATTTTGATTCATCAACAACCCTCAATTTTTTATGGTATTAATCCATAAAGACTTGTAAAAGTATCTGGTTACCATGACGAGTTCATTGAATTTCTTTTGTATCAGAAGAAGGGTTGAAAATCTATGTAATAAACTGGAAAGTCCGTGTGTTGAGGTGTGCATTATTTTTTAAGAAACTTTTAAGTATATAGAGAAGAACTATGAAAGAGTTTATACTTAGAAAAATTCTTAGAAAAGTGAAATGAGATATAAAGGATTTTATACTTGGAATTTTTTATAAAAGAAAAGGCTTATACTTGGAAAAATTTCTAAGTGGTTAGTAGAAACCTATGGAGGGTGAGCCTATATATAAAAATTTTTCTAAAAGATTGAAGGGTATCTAAGAAAGGTGACCTATGTTGACACGATCAAAATATTGATATCTTATCTTAAGTGCAGGAGTGTCGAAGTAATAAACAACCCAACAAGACTGAAGTCGAATCATATGGAGGCGAATTATATAAAATTATAACAAATATATATATATATATATATATAATGAGTAGTTTATGAGAATTTTATGGGATATTGATATAAGAATTAAACAAGAATAAAACAATTGTTAAGGTTAGAAAATTCACTAATGGTATTTCAAATAAGTATGTTATAAACTCTTTTTATTACTCAATTGGAAACTATACATAAAGGAAGTTCCAATGAGATGATTTGTCATTAATAACTTATTGGTTGAGTGTTCATTAGTTTCACAGATTTGACTATAATTTCTAGAACAAATTTCAATTCACCACTAATTTTTAGTTCTAGTGTCTCGACTTTTCTAGCTAAAGATGTAAATTTGGCTTAGAGGTCATAATCTTCCCTAAGGTTGTACATTTTTCCACTAGATGGATAAGATTGAGTTTTACTTAGTGCCTCTTAAATACCTGTAGTGTCTTAATTTTAAGTATTTTTAGCTAGCAAGTCTAAATACTTTATTGCTTTATTAGGGTCTTTATTTTCAAAAGTTCCATAGCACATCAATTCCATTATTTGTCTATCTTTAGGTGTTCACCTTTCATAAAAAATGTGAAACCAATCTCCCTGATTCAAAACCATGATGAAGGCAAGTATTAAGCAAGTCTCGATACTTATCTCAATATTGGTAAAATGTTTATTTTGGTTTTTTAGTGAAAATGATGATTTGTCTTTTGAAAGAGTTTGTTTTGTGAAACGAAAAAAAAACTTCTTTAAAAATTATTATTGCATTACATCCCAAGCAAGAATAGGTCCTGACCTAAGATTTTGTAGTCATATTTAGCTTTATCTTTTAATGAAAAAAAAGGTTTTAATCTAATGGTGTTCATGTTACAATTTAAGCCATTATAAGTGTTATAAACTTCTTCAAATTCTCTCAAATACAAGTATGAGTTTTTTATATCTAATCATGAAAAGAAGATAAAAGTTAAATAACACCTGATTTAAAATTGAAGTGAGATGCATTAGAAGGGAAAACTATACATGAGGGTGCACTTGTTCTTGTAGGATTCATGTGGTTTCTAAGTGTTCTAACTCGATTATTCTCATTATGAAGCAATTGGTTATCTTTTTTTTTGTTATATTTTCTGAAAATGATGAGGATACCCTACAAAGTCTACCACTTAATGTACATGACCAAACTCTCATGCATATGTAGAAAGAGAATAAAATGGAAAAAATTAAAAGAAATAAAACAAGACAAAACAAACAAAAGTTAGATAAAAGAAAAGGAAAGATAATAAAATAAAATATATAATTTATACAATAATTTACCTTCCCGGCAACGGCGTCAAAAACTTGACACGATCAAAATATTGATATCTTATCTTAAGTGTAGAAGTATCAAAGTAATAAATAACCCGGTAAGACTGAGTTCAAACCATAAGTAGGTGAATACACACACATACACACAAAAAGTTTGTGAGAATTTTATAGGATATTGATGTAAGAATTAAAGAATGATAAAACAATTGTCAAGGTTAAAGGATCCACTAATAGTATTTCAAATAAGTATAATATAAACTCTTTTTATCACTGAACTGGAAACCACATACAAAGAAGATTTCAATCAGATAAGTTGTTATTAATAGCTCATTATAAATTATTAACATGATCATATTAATTATCTTATTTTAGTAACACAATACTTTTAAATATTGTTAGGAATTTATGATGCTAACTTATATTAACAACAAATCAAATTTTTTTTCCATAACACAGGCATCAGTTATACCATACAGTTGGCTATGAAAGATCAGGCATTTATTATACCAAGTGTTATATAACACAAATATAGATTAACTATTTAACAAGTAAGGTATTAAAAATTAATAAAATAAAAATAATAAGACATGTTAATAGCAAACTTTATTGGATATAAATATTAAAGTCTATGTTGAGTTTATATTACACATATTCTAACACCACTAGTGTACCCTTTTTACCTTTATATAATAAATTTAGCTAAACATAATAAAGAAGAAAAACATAAATAAACTAGATAAGAACATAGTTATAATGAAAAACATAAACAAGAGATCAATGAAAGCAAAACTTAAATATTACTAAAATACAAAGAAAGAAAGCAAGAATATGATCTTGATCTAAACACCAAGATGCCTAAATACATGACAAATGCCTCTTTTTATAGGTTAAAATTTAAAACTATTGATTTGATGACTAATAATTGAGTAGGTGGCCACCTCTTGACTTAATAATAATCCTTATCTTTTTGTTTGTAGAAAACGTCATTGCTAACATTAGAATTTGAACAGATAGTCTCATGAAAGTTCTGGAAAATTATCTCAGCTTTTTAACAAAATAAGAATGAGGTCATTTAGACGTCTAGAACTTGAGATATGGGCCGAACACTAAATAGTGTCTGTGCTGAAGGATAGATTCAAACTTCTCTTTTGATGCTAAGATTTGGACTTCCAAATGACATAATTGAGTTTGGACTCCTCATGAATGTTTTAGGCATGTGGCTTAGCTTTCTAGCCATATAAACCAAACTAAAATCCAAGATCTACAGCTTTGAGATATGACCCAATAACTTAACAGTGTTCTAATATGAATTAAATTAACATCTTTTTTTTCTTCTAATATGAATTAAATTAACATCTTTTTCTTCTTCTAAACTTAACCTTTTATTTGTCCTTTCACTTTCAATAGTTAATTAATTAGTCAATCATTTGAATTGTGAGATATGGCTGCATTTAAAATAAGCATTTATTATAAATTAAAGTTATCTTATATTATTAAACTTGTTATTATAAAACATGCTTAAGTTAGGGAATTTAATGATACTTTAAGTGCAATATGATGATATAAAAATTTAATACGAATGCACTTTTAAGTATTAATATATGTCAACGCCTATGTTTAAAAAAATTTCTA